GGCAGGCAGCGGGAGGCGGGGGCAAGAGTTGTGGCACATGAGGTCATCAGTCTCAGATTCTCGCTCAGCGGCATCTCGAGCATTCCGGGCAACCGTTGGAGCGAAACCAAAGAAAATATAAAACAACACCTACAAACATAGCGAGCGGAGATGATGGTGGTGATCAAGGAGGCGGGAATTGAAAGAAGGAAGTTGGGGAGGAGGAAAAATTCAAGTGTAGGAGCCCCCATTCCGGATTGACTATTTTCGGTTGCCCAATCGCAACCTTGAACTTGCCAAGGGATCCACTAAATAGCAAGCAAACAAGAGAGTACTGAGCGGCTATGCCAAGATTTATCTGTACCCCGTTATTTACTCTCTGGGAGCAAATGCTTTTCGCCAGCTTCTTTTGTTTACACTATTTTTCAAAAATGTAAATATGAAACGAATAATGAATAGAAGGCCCCCGGACTCTCCACCCGCTCACCTCCCCTTCCTCTCACACAATCCGAATGCGAACAAGAAGAACGATGGATGGGCCCATTATAATTTGTTACTCTTTTATTTTATTTCTTCGTTTAATCGATCAACGCATATGCATGTGTGGAGAGGGTAAGAAGCGTATATTACATATACGTGATACGAGATACGAGGAGCAGGTTCGTTGACCGTAAACCGGACGGACGAGAGTCAAAAGCTGGCTACGTTTTTCGTTGCCGTAACCGAAAAGAAAACACTCACACTCGCGCGGCAAAGGCATCTCCGCCAGAACCCAGCAGAGCCATGGCGGGGGAGCGGAGTGGGAGTGGTTACAAACAAAGTCCAAAGTGGTTTCTGTTGGTTATAAATACAAGTAACACACAGACATGCTCGGAAATATCAACAAACGATACCGGGCGCAAGTGTGGGTGTGCAGAGACCCCGAAATGATCAGCGTTCGTTACAGTCGACTCGATTCTCTGGGCATGACGAAGGTTAAGCCGACTTCAATTTGGCTAACAATATGAAAATGTTTCAAGATTGGTATTGGGGGCATGCAGGAATGCCCGAAAACACCAGAAGATCAGAACAGATTTTCAACTAAAGTAGGGTGAAAAGTATGAGGAGAAATGTCAACATATGGCCGCCACGTTTACCAGCGCTTCAGTGGTAGCCAAATTATTTTCTATTTACGCAATGTACTACAAAGATTCTGGATGCACTGAATTTTGATTATACTTGAGATCCGAGATCCTTTCCTTACAAAAAAAAAAAATATAAAAGACTTAGGAAAATTGTTAGGATTGAATCAACTATTTTAAAACCACTAGCAACCCTGATTCTCCATTTCAATTTTGTCGTCAATCAAACTCCCCTCTGTGTAAATACTACGATGAATCATTGCCCCAAAACGCAGGCCACATGACCTGGAAAAATATCGCTGATCAGTAAACAAAATTGAACGAAAGCCAGCCAGCAACAAAAGGTTTCTCTGTGTATCCACAAGTGAATAAATGGATTTGGATAACACGTACGTGGACTGCTGTTGCCATTATTCAGCGAATTCCCTTACATTGCGCAAAGTTGGAACAGTTGCTGGAAACGAAACGAAGCGGGATGTTCGGCCGAGCGGAGTGTTGGCACAAATGGCGAATACCCTTTTGGCCGGGTCCGTTCCCGTTAAACCGTAGCTGTATCTGCATCTGTATCTGTGGGACATTCCAGTGGAGCAACAGTTTGAGCTAAATGCAAATATCTTTACGTTTCTTGCCCCTCTCATGTGTCGGTCGTCAGTCCCTCAGACTTTCCGTCTGTAAGGCGGTCCGTTAGTCCCACTGTCCGACGGACAGCTCATGACAATCGTTCGTTTCGTTATTTTCGTGTTTATTTCTTGGCTTTATCTCTGTCGCTGTCTTTTTCCTTTGTAAAGTAAATGTCTGTTTAAGTGATCGCGTAATTACAAAAAAATGTGAAGTTGTTTGCTTTTGTTTTCGTTGCCTCTTTTATTATATGAAGTCACCCAAAAGTGCTACCATTCTATGGCCCGGAATTATCTCTGGCAAATAAAGCAATCACCGGCTGGGCCAAGGGAAGAAAGACTGCTAATTTTGTCTGTTTGGGTTTATGGTCTTGAAATTAAGTCTGAGGAATGCAGTTGAATGACACCTGAAAGAAATCGTTTCATGCGAAGACGAGAAGAAGAAAGGAGCAGGCAAAATTAGCAAAACAATTCAGTTTGTTATCATCTGGCGGGCAACCCCCCAGCCGACCAAAGTTTCGCGATCGTATTTCTGAACCAAGAGTGGGCGCTGAAATCGATGATTCTTTGGACCAATCTCAGCCCGTTTCTTCGCTGGCTTGGCTGAATGTTCGTTGGAGGGTCGGCTGCCCAACACACACAAATCGAACACACGAATACCCGGCCAGATTAAAAACTTGTTTTGCCCCGCTCTCACTGGAAACTGGGACCATTTCTGCTACCACTCTCCCTCAAAGGTGAGTCAGTAAGTCAGAGAGCGTCTGCATGCAAATTGGTAGCATTGGGCAAAGCCTCTTGGCGGCAAATGCTCGCATATTTGACCAAGTAAACCGTTAAATCGGACTCCCTAAGTGGTGAGGTGATTTCAGTCTCACCGCAGGAGAAACGGGTGATTCAGCATCGACGGATGTTTACTCAATTTTATCGCCGCGGTGCGAAAGTAATGAAAAATTCAAAGAAGTTGGCCCGGTTAAAAATTAAAAATAAGCGGAACAACGGGGCGTGATTCATGGATTCAACGGATGGCACGGAGAGGTGCTGGCGATAAGGAGTCCAAACACTGCGCAAATTGATTAGAAAATGTATAACTGCGGTCAAAAAAATATCGAGTCGACTTTATTTTGATTTATATTAAACACATATCTGAAGTTAAATATCAGCTTTGTTAGCTGGGTGCGATAACGTTTACATTGTTAATTCTAAATTAACACTTTTCATATATTTTTAGTTCCTAACATTCGTTTTAACAATTTGCCTAAAAAGCTACAATTACTTTGCTATTCCCTTGACCGCAGTTGTAGCTGTTCCTGTTGCTTTACACTCATGTATGGGAGCTATCAATAGGGTTTATGTCAGGTAATTCAGTGTTTCGGGCGTGGCTCACACAACGAATCAGGCGGGTAGGAAAAACCCTGGGTATCCGCAGGTTTGGGTAGATCGCGGCGGATCTCTGAGGAGACTCAGGTAGGGGCAAACGGACTCACCTGGTTCTCGTGCGGCACCCACACCAGACGCTTCTGTGTCCACTCGGCCTGTGTGGCCGGATCGTTGAACTGGTTGCGCTCCACCGAGAGGTACTTGAGCTCCGGATCGTTGCGATCTACTTCTTCCGACATTTTGGCGGCGCTTCTCGCTGTCTGTCTGTTTAAGTCCCTGCGGCGGTTAATTAATAATTCCTTGTCTGGCGGCTGGTTTGCGTGGTAGGTTATCGCTATTCAGCGGCTAGTTGCTTTTCTGTCGGACAAAACAAATCGATGAGAACAAATGAGTACGTTGTTTCGCTCGTCTCGTCGCCAGCAAGATACAATATTTCGCATTTATCTAGCGTTCGCGTTCTTTATCTGGAAGTGCGGCACAAAACGAAGGCGGCGAGAACAGCGCGCGGCGAGAGTTTCAAAAGGGAGAGCACGAAGAAAGACGGAGACGGCGAAGGAGAAGAAAAAATATGGCCACACATTTTCTTAAGCCAACGTCGGCCGTGGGCGAGGGAGAGGAAGATGGAGGGGAAGAAGTTTAGCGGAAAAATAGCGTTACGTAGCAATTAACCATTAACCAGTTTGCATTTCCGAAGACTGCAACAAACTCTGTTTCAGTTTTCGGAGCAGGTATAAGCGCGGCCATCCTTCTCTCCTCTCGCTTTGCCTATCCCACTCTCTTCGTTCTGCAACACACTTGCACGGCTCACACACACACACACATCGCGCTGGGAACGAAGTTTTCGCATATTTCGCACATAAATGTTGTTTTTCGGTTTTTATGCTCCCATTTCACAGCGTCAGCACGGCGTTTGTGCAAATTCAGCTGAATTCAGTCCCGCATTTGCTGCATTTGTTGCGGCGCGGCGAACAGCGTCTCTGCCGGCGTCGGCGTTGGCGTCACGTCGCCGGCGACTTTTGGGCGTTGAATTGATGCGTTGCGTTGGGAAATAATTCTACATGCATTTAATGTTGCTGTTTTCGTTGTTTTTCCGCACCGGAGGACAAAGAATGAGTGGCAGACTGTGCCGGCAGCAGCCTTTTATGAGCAAACTTAGCGCTTTTCATTTGTTTTAGCGACAGCTGCACTTTCAGCTCACAGTACACCACACTCACACACAAGCACTCACAGAGACTTCGACTTCGACGCACCGCAGTTGATTGTTGATTGAAATTCAATTTCAATTCGGTAGTGGTGGAGAAACATCGATGCCAACATCGAAATAATCGATATTTCAAAATATCGGCGATATCGATGTTTGATCGGCTACAAAGCAAAAATCTATATTATCGATGTTTTTATCGATGTTTAACAGAGCAGTGTCGGTGGTTTACCATCACTAACTGTTAACTACATCGTTTCGTTAAGGAAATGTTAAAATTGCCCCCACTATCTGTTAAGTAAGTCCCTGCTGCCAGCGGAGCAAGTCCCCGCTAGCTGCGGTGTAAGTCCCCGATAACTATCTATATCGCTAAATTATCAGGAATCCTGTGCAAGTGATGGTATAAAGTGCCCAAAAAGTCGAACTATACATTAAAAATGTGGCATACGAACAGTTAATTAATTAATGTCTGAATTAACTCAGATTATAACGTTGAGTATGACTACCACATTCAAATTTGAATGCGCGCTAAGGTGAATTTCCCCATTGCAACCTTTTCTAGCTGTGCTCTTCTCACGCACGCATTCGCTTATGGGCCACAAAGCCTATTGCTGTTGCCTCGCACAATTCAACATAAGACCAAAACAGCTGTTTACGTGGATTTTAACAAGAAGTAACACTGGTCATACTGGAAATAGTAGCGAGTCGGGAAAGTCGGGCGCGCGGATTCACGGATACTTTTCAGTTAGTTTACAAATTTATTCGCAGAACGCAAGTGAGTGCTTCGCGTTTGATTCAGTAAGTCCATACCCGACCCGAGTAAAAAAAAGTCACATTTTGATTTTTTTTTCAACCGTTCAATTAACTGAAAATAAACAACCTTTCTAAGAATAGTTACCTTCTGGGGAAAAAGGCCTTTCTACCAAAGAACAGTGCCAAAACTAGTGCAAAAAACAGAAATTTTACATATTTAAACAAAGTGCGACTTTTGGCACCGTTTTGGGATGCGCGCAGCATCCTTGGCCATGACGTCATTCGATTGCTGACCAGTTTGCCAGTTTGCGTCCGTGTGTGTCTGTGTGAGTGTGTATATGCGTGTGTATGTGATGAAATTGGAGCGCAATAGCAAAGTATATTTGGATGTGCCGAAGATTAGCTGCAAACTTACAGTACCGCTAACCGATTAATGTCGCGGGTGCCTTAATTACTGCAGGACATCCCCGATTAATTCCGCAGGACTCTCACGATTTGTCTATGGTTTCTCGTTTCCAGGATCCCGAGATATTGCCTGCAATTGGAATCGTCGGATGGCGAACTAACGTTGCATTTAAAAACTATCGCTTCAGGTAAGAAACCATTGCAGCTGTTTTCCCCTGAAAAAACAACAACTGGGTCAGATAATTAGCTTCTAGAATTATACTCTCCGATTTGCTCGAGCCCCTCAAGTTTAGTGTAAGACGAGCCAGCTTCATCTGCTTTTTAATCTGCTCGAAGCTCGACCCATTTCAGCTTTGCGCTGATGATACATTTTTAAAATGGAGCCAGAAGCTCCTTTCCTGTTTCACCGGCGACAGTAAATAAGTAAAACAATCTCAAATAAATGAAACTGGCCAAATCTTCAAAGGCATCTGACTGTGGTGCCATAGTGCGTCCCCAAGTCCCCTACTCCGCTTTTTCGGGAGGTTGTAAATATTAAAGGACCAGACGAGCGGCAGACAACAAGGTAGCTCCACCAAACAGGGGGGAAAGGTCTTGCCCGCTCCCAAAGGAACCCGGGACAACATAATCAAAGGCTTTTACTGCACCATCGAACAACCAGAGAACTGCCTCCACAGGCTCAAGTGGCGGGTTGGTAGGCTGAAATACGAATGGGACCCGGCCGGAAACCCTGGCACAGACAGTTTTCCTGCCCGGAGTCTCGTGACAGGACACGTTCGACCTAATAAGCATACGTACTGGAGCTCGTGGGCAAATGGAGGCCCGTGAAACATCGCATTTATGACTCCGCAGAGCTGTAAGTGCTTCCGCATTCCCCCCGGGGGAAAAATCGATTTTTGGAGTTAATCGAGTTGAATACCCTGCAAAATCCACTGGGTTTTTTGGGGGTTTATTCAGCATCAAACTTCTGATGACCAACAAAAAAAAAAAGATTTCTAATCTACGTCGCCGCCAAAAAAAATTCAAATCGAAAAACTTTGATTCCGCCCCTCATAAAAAACATGTTTTTTTAATGTATATTTTTATGTGACTTTGGTCTGATTTGCCTGGTGATTGCTCTTCTCTGCTTTGACTTTTGTATATTTTGCCAAATTTACATTTTTTTAAACCGAATTTTTTATTGTTGACGTTCTTGGCTAAACGCTGGCTGTATGCTTTCGAGTTCTAATAAAAAACTTTATTATATTATTTAGTTGTCTTGTGTATTTACTTCAGTTTAATTACTCGCACCTCATTATATCGATCTAAATGTTCAAATTATGATGTCAATTTAGGAACATGTGGAACTCATTTATGCGCACTTTTAATGGCTAAAATATAATTGGATTGAATACTAAAAATTTCTGCTGCCCGTGGCCGTAAACGTAAATACACATTGGTATTTCATATGTCCTCAGAACCTCAGACAGTCGACACACTCACAGGCACTTTCATACTCATTAAAGCTTGGCGGCATTGAAATGGCGCCAAGTTGACGTTTGCTCGGTTGACGCCTCCTGGCCGCCTCAAAGTTCTCAGCTCCTGAGCTGCGGCAGAACGGGTACGGGGCAACCTATTTGACGCCGCACGCAAACAGCTGAGCCAGAGGGAAGGGAAACCAGCACGACAACAAACAAATGCTCAAGGAGTAGCCAAACGAGAAAGGATGTGGAGGCGGCAGTGTGAGCTGCGCTAGATAGCAGGATATGAACAAAAGTTGGTAGTTAATTCGTTTTGATGTCGCTGGCGAGGTTGCTTGGATCCAGATGAAGGTCGCAGGATTCGGGGGAGACGATAGTGGGATACACGATGAGTCATCCTGGGGCAGGCGCAACTTCCACGCCGGACTCATTTTGTCAGTTTATGGCCCAAAAAGGAGACCAGCAACCCGGGGAAGTGTCGTAAATTTCCCATTGCCAGCAGTTGTTGATTATGAAATTTTATTTGTCGCCCAATTAACTCGATTCACGCACGCGATGGCCCACATAGGCTATCAAGTTTTCCAAGATATATGCATATATACCGATGCCGCTCAGTTGGGTTTCAGATTGTGGTAGGTTTGGTAGGGTTTTCTTCGTCTTTTAATTTCGCTTTGTTTGTTTGACGGAATGGTGCATTTGGCGGTGGGAAGACCTTCAAGCAATCCCCAAAATTAAAATCGATTTCCTTGATGGACACCAGGCATGAGAGGTCATGCACTCCGCTGTCAGAGGTCAATTCCAGTGGTGTCGTTGGGTCCTTAGATTGTTAGGGGTTGCCTTGGCAAAGGGTTGTAATAGTAAAGTGGAAATAAAGTATAAAGACTTAGTGATCCGCCTTCTCGATTTAATTCTGATTCTATCCTAACTTTCAGTATCACAGCTTGAAACGAAGAATTACCCATTTTTTACTCTTCTTGTATCGCGCAGCCCAACAAAAATTCAACTTAATTGAAATATTTGCACATAAATTCTCGACTCAGTAACAACGTGTGATGTCATCATATCGAAGATTAATAATAGAACCTTGATTCGAAGCCATCGCCTTCCCGCGATCATGACTCAGTTTCTCACTATTTTGCTATTCTCATATGTACAGATTCGCCTCCTTTTATGGCGTTTATTCTCCGAGTTGGTCTTGAGAGGTGGCTTCTTGATTGGTTCAAATTGATTGATATTGAATGATGATTGGATTTGGTTGAAGGCAATAAATTGTCCCAAAACAACATCCGAATCGTGTGTCGGCACCTTTGCCGCAACCTGCCAGGTTTAAACTACTCGGAAGTGACGCAAAATTTAGAACGCCCCAATTCCAGATCGACGTCGAGGAAACAAGTAATGAAGTTTAATTTCTGGGTTCATTGGTCGGGATAATTTTGTGACTCACCTGCATGCCATTCGGGGATTGAGGTGAGCAGACAAACTAGAGCGTGTAGCAGACTCCTGCGCTTGATTTCTGAAACACCATGGGAGAATTCCGTGAATAAATCACGTTCTCTGGGATTTTGTATTCTGACCCTGGCTTTCCTTAGAGCCTGTCGAGTGCAATGGAATGGGATGAGCGTGAGCGCGGCTCTGAGAAGAAGATTCAGGGGATTCAGTCCAAGGATGGGGACGAGGACGTCGACGACGATGACGCGCCGAGACAAGTACGCAAAAAAGGAAAAATGGGAAAATGCGAGAGATGCCTGCGAGCCAACTAGCGGCAGCTGCTTCTTCTTGTGGCATTGTCCTCTGCCGATGAAACCATCCTTGCCGGTGCCACGGAGGGGTGGTTTGGCTCGGCTCTGCTCTGCTCGCCGTCTGGCCCTGCTTACAGCATTACACGTTCCCTGCGCTTGTTGCCACTCGCAAACCAAACCGTGGCTTCTATTTTTCGGGCGGCACATCAGGCAGACTGGCAGAAAAGGGGGTTGGAACTGGCATGTGCTTATTTTGTTATTTTATTATTTCGCTATTTCTTTCTCTATTACGCCTTTGTTGTGTCGCCGTCCTTCGTGTTGGGTGTGCTTGAGTCGAAAATTTGAGTGAGAATTTCCCTCGGATTGAACCGAGTCTCCTGGGACAGTGGTGGCTGAAATATTGAGTTCCTTGTTTTCACATCGCTAAGTCATACTATATCTCCCAACTGTGCTGCTTTAGTTGCACTTGGCAGAATAAGCATTTCTTCCCGGCTGAAATATTAAATGCATTATAAACTCGGCATTTTATTGTTTTGCGTTAAGTTACATACATACAAAACTGTGCTGATCCATAGGAATTTCATCCGCATTTCCTGCATTTGGCAATATAAGCGTTTTTTTCTGGCTCTAAAGCAAGTGCCAAGATTTGCTTCCGAACTTGGTAAATTTCAAATGTTTGACTTTTGCATCCCATTCCTCAATGTAGAGCCGCAGGCGCCGCTCGGTGGGAAATTCGTAAACCACACGTGTCCCGTTCCAGATCCTGGATATGATCCTGAATCGCTCGCCGTGCGGCGCCCGTCGCCAATTATTTCACATTTCTGTAAACAAACAAAGCAAACAAAGCGAGGCACATAAAATAAAAATTAATTTCCACACAGAAATGGATATTTGGGCCGGCGTTTCTAAACACCGACCCGCGGCATTCTCCACGCTTACCCTGCGTGCGTCTTGTGGCGTTGATAATGTGGAAACCACCCCGCAAATGTCCCGTTTGCAATGCATCCCCTTCGCCAGGGCCATTTGCTCTCTGTTGTGATAAATTTTAAATTGCCCACATTGTCGTTGGACATATTGGCTGCGCTTCGGGGGCGGTTGGCTTCCTGGCCGCTCACCCTTTGGACCCGCTTCGATTAGGGAAAAGTCACATGGCTTGCATTCTGGGCATTACAATACTCGACACTCACACTTCCTCGCCCGGAGTCCTTTTCTGAAGTGGATTGCGTGCCTTTAAAATCGTAGCTTGTTGCTGTTTTGAAGGGCTTACAAGTTTGTTTAAAGCGCAAACAATTTTGCCTTTGAATAACCTAACCTGTTTGGAAAGGTTGGGGGCGAGACAATGCTTTTGATTCCGTGAATTTCGCATCAGCTTTAGATGATTCTGCACAGCCCTGAAACCTTTTGCCCACCACTTTATGGAACATTCAACTCGTTCCACTACGTCGCTATTACTTCCAGCATCGGCGTTAGAAACCGCTTTATGTGGCGGCGCAGTAAAAAACGTCGTTCGGATGCGGGACTTTTCACTTTTCTTCGAGGGTAAGTCCTGCAAGAAAGGCAAAAAGTAAAGTGGAGCCTGCAAGTTAACGCTAAATTTAAGATACACAAAAGCCCAGAATCCCCCATCTCCCCTGAATAAGTGTGCACAGCTGTTGCCAGTCAGACCCAGAGCTGGATTCAATACACAGACCCAACCTGGAGCAGACTCAAGTTCCTGCGCGACCTAACACACCCACAATCCAACAATATGCGCCTGAGGAATCGAATTCGATATGCAGTTCCTCCTCTCGATCCCACAACCCTCCGAGCATTCCATGCTGAATTGCATTTTCGCCTGACGGTTGCAGACGGAATTATGAAACTTCGACCAAGGTGAGCCACTCGATTGGATTCGAGATGCGGCAGCTGCTGATAAGAGAAGTTACTTAAAGCTCCCCCAGAGTGACCTGCGTAAACGCCTCACAGTTCTCACACAACAAACAGGGCATAACAAAAACCCCGTACTGGGTCTGGGTATTAGTGATAAGTGCTTGACAACAAATGCCAGAGTGACAGCACATCATGGACGAAAATGTCCCCGGAACAATGGAAAATCAATATACGAGCTCCAGTGCCTGGCACTACGCAGTTTGAACACAGGGTCCCCCAGCTGAATGTCCCGCTTTCTCCACCGCCCGCTGGCTTGTGTTGGCGCCATGTCATGTCAGCAAATGTCTCATGTTTGGGCTCCAGTCCTGCCACTTGACATGGTGTACTGGCCTCGACCACGCTGCTGCTGCAAATTGAAGGCACAGGTTACACAACTCCGACGAAATTGCTACTATAAAAAGCCCGTTGCATAGCGCTATCCCCTGTAATATAGTTGCACCGGCCTCGGTCGCTGAGCGTACTAATTTTCCATGTGGCTAGCCAGCAATTGTTGCTCTGCGAAAACTAGGCAGCTCCGGGAGAGTCCTGCCAAGTATTTCCTGGTAATTGGCCAGGTTGCCACCCAGAACTTTTGTCGTGGGCTGGCTAATGGACTGGGTCACTGAAATTGTGTGGTATTGATTTATGGAAAGCACTTTGTACGAGCTGATTGAACTGGCGGTTGAGTTGCGGTGAGAATCACAAGTCCGAACCGAGAACTTCGTGTTCCACACTTCCGATTCTGGCTCTCGACGTGATTTTACACTGCCCACAAGTCTTATCAGACCCCCTTTTATTCTGCACAGCTAGCTGGATTTGTCGGCCACTCCAGCCTCGTATCACATATGAATGGAGTGCCACATTTCTAAGCGTCTGCTGCGGACATTTGCATGGGATTGTTCAAAAATTCAGCAGAAGCTGGATACTGGCACACACAAATGTCAGCTCCAATTAAAATGCCGTTTGTTTGTTTAACCATTCTGCACGTCGAGTGCACCGTAATAATGGACTTCCTCTGGCCGCCCCCGAACAGTGCAAGCAAAAAGTATGGCGCCAAACAATCAATCTCTGCGCGGGCGTATCTGCCATCTGTAATTACAGGCACAGCAAGAAGTACAAAACCAATTAGCGGCACTCGAGGTTGGGTCTCATAAGTCGGGAACATTTCCTCACAGAGCTTTATTGACAGGCCGCTGTGGACTTTAAGGTGCGTCTGCCTAAAGGAGAGATTGACCGCAACTCAGCCACAGTCAGCCAGTTGGAAGCGGGAACGGGTTGACCTCAAAACTAGGAACTTTTCACACCTTAAATGGCCCATTCTGCGGCGCAGATAACGGTCAACGGACTCGTGGCATTTTATCGCTTACCTGCAAAATTATGGAATTTTATGGCCTGGCCATTAAAATACCCCTGGTTCCACAATTAATTAGCAAATATATTTTATGATCCTGCAATTTGATGGCCACAGTCATTCATTAGTGTGTGTAGACGGCACAAATTAGCTGATGTAAAAAAAGCTCATTTCCATATCGATTAGAGAGCGGAGAGGGATGGTCCTAGGCTAAAAGTGGTCGAGTTCTGTCTGGGATTAGGGCCTCTATGTTGTTTCATCCTCCCATCTGACATGCATCGTTGCTCGAGCGCGGAATTGCACTTCCCCCTCATAAGCCTCAATTTCCTTTGGGCGGCCTCTTTGTTCTAGCAGCTTTTCGGAATTTGGCCTCCTCATTGGCCCCACGTGCAGCGGAGATTACGCTTGTTGACTTTAAGCAGAGAGCGAAGACCGGCAAACTGGTTTCGTCTTACCTCACATATGCCACACAGGCACACGTTGCAATTAGTCTGGCTCAAGTCGTGGCTAACGGTACCATTTTCCACCGTCCCGCCTCGCCACTTGGGCATCATAACTATCAGTTTGTTGTGCCCAGATCTCTAATCGCATCGGGCTCGTGAGATTTGCGTCGATAGTGTCGGCTCAAGTGATAGATTACCATGTGCAAGCCGCTTTGGCCCCCTCAGTGGCTTTTTTTTTTAACTTTTTGTGAGATTCAGCGGTGGCTGCTTACCTGAGCGTGGCAGTCGAAAATCTTGGCCTTTGAGAGGGAATAGCACTTTTAATGGCTTTTCAATGTTTGGCTTGTTCGATTATTATGAATTCTATTAAATTAATAAGTGTGTAATAATGTATTTTTTGTTTCCCATTCGCAGATTAATTGGCTTTTGGAGCGCACTCAACCGACTGGTAAGTTGAAACCTTTTAATTTTTTGATTTTTGACGGGCATATTGGTGAAAGGGTTTTTTATTTCAGTCAAAAGTTTAGGGTCTACACTGCGTTTAAAACTTTTTGCTGAACTTATAATACCCTTTGCAAGGGCATAAATATCAGACGACTGTCTCAAAAAGCTGTCCAATGAATTGTAAAAAGGTTACTAAACTTCTAGAGTCCATCACATTACCAAATTTAAGCGACATACCTCTTAAGAAATCAAGCCACTTACTCGCCACGTTTATTAGTAGTTCCCATCTTAGGATGTTTTACTGCGGCTCCTTATAGGGCCGACGAGCGGGTGATCCGAGTGAAATGTGCGTTGCCGTACTGTTGCTTACATAACTTGAGTGGTCAAGTATGCTCGACGACGACAGGCTTAAAACGGCTTCATTACTATCAATCTTAATTGAAAAATCATTGGAGCTGTTTGCTGATTCAGTGAGAAGATGCCCTTCCACCGTTCCCAGTCCCCTCAGCGGTGCCCGAGATGGCTTGCGATCTTCCACTTAAGTGGCCAGAGTTATGAAACAGCCTACCGGCAACCAAGTCGCGGATAGAGACATGCCCGTAAAGTAGCTACGATTCCAGCACTTGTATCTCTATCTGTATCTGCATCTGGTTCTGCATTTGCATCTCCGCTCGACTGCATTTCGCAGCCTCTTGCTCGTTTCTGTCGCGTTTTGTGCTGAGCAAATTGTGGGCAATCATTGTCAATTTACGGTCCACATGCAAAATGACTTTGTGCTGTACTTGGCGGATGGTGGAAAGTGGCCTGCAGTGCGCCCTCGGGAGGATAAACTCCGTTGCTCGCCCCACGGCGTCGTTCTTTCCAGCCAGTCTTCACTGCACCCGCATGTCTGTCGACCTCTCGACAGTTCACTATCGCACCTTGAACTACAAGCAGTGGCGACGTCTCCGTCGTCGGCTACTACTGGCACAACATACACTGAGAAAAATGCAGCTCGATATAAAATCGAATTGCACAGGTAATTTTGATATGTGAAACATGTTCGATTAAAAGTATGTCCTAAAGGTGCTGTTTGTGTGGTGACCACTAGTTTAAATCAACTATAATTGGTAATATTACTCTTCTAATAAATCTAAAACTAAACATTTACATACATTTTTCTTTCTGTTTGGGCAAATGTTTTCCTCTTTTTGTGGAACACTTATCCAAGCTCTGAGATCAGCCTGGGTTTTTGTTGCTCCGGGGTCGTTCGCTTTATTTACCTTGTCTGAGAATTGGCGAGCCCTGCCCCCTCAGTCCACTCTGTTTACCACTTGGTTTGAGCTTTTTATTTATTTCATTATTTTTTGTTGGGTACAAATTTGTATTTTTTGTGCGTCTGCCTTTTGGCGTTTATTTATTCGTGTATTTGTTTTGAGCGCTTGCCTCCGACGCTTTAACATTTATTGCTTTCATTTATTGCTATTTGTAATAGTTATTTTCGTGCGGGAATAATTCAAATTGGTCAAACAAACTGTTTGGAGGAGGCGGAGGTTCTCGTAAAAGGAGGATCACAAAAATTGTCGACATCTGGTGACTTGATTAATTTTCAAGATGTCGCCTTGTGTTTACTTATTCCAATAAATAGGAAACTTCAGTGAGGCTCTACGTCTCAATAGAGTCAATGGGTTAAGTGGTTAGCTCAGAGAGCGTGTTAGTATAAAGAAAGCTCTTGGCCCCCATTTCTCCCTGGCCAAGAAAAGTGGTGCCACAGTAGCTGTGACCCACTGAGAGGCAACCAGAGTGCGTGGTTTTCTTCAATCAATGTGGAGTAGGTTGTCAGGGCAGAGGAAACACCGCTTATCGCGTTTAACGCCCCGTATCACCGCACAGTGCACCCTCCCTACCACGACTTCCATCGCAAGAACAACGACCCACTCCACCCACGCGGGCAGAAGAACCGCACTCTGGTGGAGGAGCAGTTACAGGTCATTAGGTGCTCGCTCGCATCAATGGGATGTTGTCAAACGATGTCATCAGCAATAGATGCCAAGCATGGAGCGTCGGCAAATTCAATTCATTTAATGTTTAATGTCAAGTGTCTGACACACATTTTTTTGCTTTCCGTACCCTGACTCGTATCGCACAGATCATCGGCGATGATGGCTGACAAACCTTAATTAGAAATGCAGTGACTTCACCCAGACTCAATTATATAATTACCCTGGCTGACATTCCGCCACTGCAGGCAGGAATTGGGAGTGGAATGCTAATTGGCAATTAGCTGGGGCGAGGACCGAAGGAGTCCAATGCAGTGGCTCTGGAACAGGAGCTCCACCTGCATTCCATTAATGGCGTAAGTCGGCATGACTGCCACTTCAATTGTTTCCATATTTGTGCTAGTCGTGCTCTACATTGGCGTGCATTTTCATTGTTGAACAAAATGCTTTTGCAAATTGCTTTTTACTTCGTCTGGGTCAGAGCACTTTTCGTTTGCATTCGTTCGCAGCTGTGAATTTTAAACTAGGTATTTTTATTAGCAGGGCCAGCAATAGTGTCAGTGATAACATCCCCAATGCATCATATTTCCTAGTTTGTGCAATTCTAGAAATCCATTTAATAGTTTGTTTTTACTATCATCTGATGTTTTCTAGGACTATTATTAAAGCAATACGTAGGGTTTTTCTAAATCTACACTTATAGATAACAAAACTTGTATACTTGCTGACCTCATTGACGGAAACGCTCCATAAACCATATAAACGAGAAAAACAAAAAACAGAGCCACACATTAAACTAACTGCAAACGCGAATTAAATTGCTAGAAATTGAAAGTGACACTGAGAGCAACGCACGAGCTTAAATTCGCTGCAGACCATTTAGAACTTAAAAATGAAAATATTTTTCGCTCAAAGCAAATTGGGTGGAATTTGGGGCAGATACACCCCGTTTCAAATTAGTCAACCAGAGAAGCGTTCGAATCGATTGTTTAAGGGGGTTGAGTTAGAAATGAAGAAACAGAAAACTATATAAGGAAACTGAAACTCAGAAGAGGACATTGGTAACAAAAAGAGAAAAGGCTTGTTTACTTAAGTAAACAAAAAGGGTTAAGCGAACGTTGGTCGTTAAAGGCCTTGACAAAATGCAAATTGCCAGTTAATTACTGCCAGAAGACGGAGAAGGCTGTTGGGGCAAAAGGATCAAATGACAAATTTGCGCTGGAGGTATATTGTGTTTGCAGCGATACTTAAAAGTGACAAATATGAAGCACTCCTTGTTAAGGAGGGGTCTGCGCTGTCGGCAAAGCTAATGCATTTAAAGACCTCGTAGTCAAATTAGAAAAAACCCAAACTTAAAACTGAAAACCATAAGAACATACTTACGACATTGTTTATCTGAAAACAGCACTTGTGTTCATCAAGTTAAAGGCAACGTGTCATCACTGGGCGTATGAGCATTGCTTGACGGTTATTGATGGCCTGTCATAAGTCACTGCAGAGAGCTCAACAAACACTTGTAGGAGATGATGGTGCTTACATGCCACGAAGGCCGGCTCAAGATACATGGCCAAGTTCTATCTCCCAGATATGTAATGAGTGCAGCACGCGATTCGGTAGTTAGACCGGCCTGGCATTGATGCGTTGCATCCCAGTGCAATCCAGTTTCCCTGTCGCCTCTTGGGAGTGCGAGGCCTGATGGCTCTTTGCCTGTCAATGAGGTGCTAATGGAGCCCTGGCATTGGATCGCGGCGTGCCGTCGCGGCATGCTGCGTTTCCCTGCTCCACTGCCTCGACTTTTGGCCATGGTGTGGATGCACAGTTAGCTTGTGTGCTTGCCACAACCGCAGTTATGACTTGCCATGTCTAACAAAAGTGGTTAGAGGGATGCCCGGCTGCAGCTTCCTCAACCACTTCCTTCGACCACCATGGAGTGCTCTTGTTTTGGCGTAATCTGAGAAAGCGTAAATCTTCAAGAGAGCTTGAAGACGTTATGTGGTTGCTTTTAAGCAAACATTCCAAAGATCTAAGTACAGATTTCAGTACAAGCAGCGAGTTTGACCAGATACAAACTTAAGAAAACATTTACACGTCATAATTCAAAGGGTCTCTGTGCAGTGAAACAAGTTTATTTCAGATCTACGGCACGTAGCATATTTATTCCATATCTAACCCCATTTCAATAATTAATTATCTAAATTACAAAATAAACGGCAGCTGTTATAGAGCTATATAATAGATGGGCACAACAAAAGTGCCGGCAGTTCCAAGGCCTGAGCCAAAGCTGTCGTGACGTGTTTGCCATCGAAATATTTAACAATAACAAACCCCGCTCACGCAACTCATATGGCGGAATATAAAGCCAAAAGAACAATACTACTTGTATATACCATTTGGAGATACATTGTGTGTTGTAATTACATTATCTAGGCTTAGTTTCCGAACTCCAACTTTATATGCGATTCGTGTGTTATGAGCTAATGCATACAGATGATGTTTTGATACTGGATTTCGAGTTAAAGGCGCTCAGAGTCAGTGAAGGCAAATAATGCTAAAAATAATATATCGCGCTAAAGCTAGCATACAACTTGATGTTGTATACAATTATTTTTACGTCTAGCTCGACGGCAGAGCTCAGATCACAGAACACATTGTCAAAGAATTGGCTTTGAATCTTTCGAGTATAGCTTAGTTGAAAAACCAGTTCAAATTTAGTTTTGCGTTTCTCTTAGATTTTTGGCGGTAACAATTTTGTATCAGCACGTGGCTGGCTGGCTTTAAGAACACTGCACAGTACCGGTTTTGGTTTATTTTGCTTGGCCAGTTTTTAGTGCTCTGACGTTGACGTGTAGTGTTTGGAGCGCTACGAGCACATGTGGTCTGCTCTCAAACGGACCATGACCGATTTCGAAATCTCCAAGTGGGGTCAAAGTTTTCACCAAGAGGGGAGAGACCATTATAAAAAGCGGCAATTCCACTACAGAATCAAAAATACTTCATCAGAAGGGCGAAATTGCTTTGTCGAGAA